ACRTATTCAAATAAACCAAGAGTTTCAGCTCCTGTTCAAAGGCTGGGTGTGACCCAGTTTCACAGGCAGAGACACTTGAGAGGAGAAATTCAGTGTCCCTACCACAAATTGAATTGACACCGACACCCAGGTGGGAAACCCGCGCATGAGATTCTCTCCATGGCTGGCCAGCCAGGCCACAGATGCAGCTCTCCAGCAGCCCCCATCCCAACATACCAGCAGGCTGGAGGGCTTGGGACAGATTTGGGAGCTGGGTTTGTTTGCTGAGACAGCTCCCTGCAGCCTGTTGTGCAAAGCCAGYAATTCCCAGGTGGATTTTGGGGTGAGGAGCCTGTGGCTGCCTGCACGCGGCACGCAGGGCTCTCGCAGCCTGGCAGGCACCACGGGCGCGTGGGAGATGCTCACATGTGTGAAGCATCTTCTCAGGCTCACGCTTGCTGTGAAAAAGGAAATAAAAAGAGTCCCCCGGCTCCAGCTGCCTTCAGCATCTCCTTTCTAATAACTTGGCATATCCACTTAATACAGGCCGGCTCCTTCCAAGTCGTTAGTGGCAGTGGGAGACGCAGCCGGAACACTGACCTGGTTTGCTTGCCAAGACAGAGCAAAGAGAAACCTTCACATAATCATTTCCAAACATTAAAATGGCTCCATTGTCATTATAGCTGAGAGATTGAATTCGCCTCATCAAAGCGGCRTATGACAGGTGACTCAATAGGCTGGTGCCAAGCGCGGAGGCAGGAGATTAGCAGGGCACTGATATCATTATTTCCGCCTATCACAGATTCGGCAGGGAGGCAATTGTAATTTCTGGGCTTATTAGTCTGCATTCGCAGGAAAAAACCTGGTGATAAACCTCAGTGTGACAGCCAGGCATTTGTGCAGCAAGTGCTGTCACAGTGACACTCGGAAAATGCCAATGTGGATACGTTCTCCTAATCCCCCCTAATGGAGGTTAAAGCCTGGCACAAAGGCACTCTTATCACTGATCGGGACACTAATAACATTTGCATTTTTAAGTTAAATATAGTAAGTAAAGAATAAGTCTCCTCCTCGCGGCTTCGGCAATTAACTCAGCCTCAGAAGGATAAAAGCGGAGCGGAGATTCCAGCCGGCCGGGCTCTCTCCCACGGCGGGTTGGCATTCCCAGAGCAGCACCTGCGCTACCACCTCGGCTCTCCGTGCTCGGGGCTGGGATGGGACCTGGAAAAGGGTGGGGGCCACGCTGCCTTGTGGGGGCCAGGGCTGAGTGGGGCTGCTGGCCCAGGCTGCCCTTTCCCCCAGGAGGGGAGATGAYTGTTCCAGGGCTTTCACAGACTTTTACAAGTGGTTTTGCTTCAGAGGAACAGAACTTTTAGGGGTTTTTATTCTGCCCCACGGTGTGAACAGGGCTTGGGGCTCCTGTGATAATTCCCCCCAGCACATGTGCATGGACACACAACGCACACTCTCCACAGGAATTTCTTAAGGAAAAAAAATAATTACAGGTGGTAAACTGTTACTTTTCCACATTTAAATAAGAGACCAATTAAGAAGACTATGTAATTCAGTTCTGGAGTGAGTGCCACTGAATTCAATTTGTTTCAGGTCAATGAATATAATGTGAAGTTATTAACAAAAAGGTCAGGGACTGCATATAAAATATACACACATGACACAGGCAGAGTAATTAGTACACATTTCACATGTTCTGCTGCTCAGACATATGGTGTAGAAAATCTGAGCAGGATTAGATGATAATAAATGTTCCCCTCTCCCTCCCACCAGCTCCCTATTTAAATGGAGTTTATGGCTATTCCCCCGGTCTTCCTGGGATCGGCCAAAGGTTGAGGACCCACAGCTCACACAGCAGTGCTGGGGTGGGACCCTCAGCCAGGGCAAAGCTCCCAGGAAAGCTGGGACAGTCCCAAGGTGAGGGATCCTGATCAAGGAGCTCAAGCCACATGCCAGCACATGCTGGGGCAGGAACAGGTTTTTGGGGACTTTGTGCCCCACACACTGCTTGTCTCTGGGCTGTGCCAACAGAGCCACACCTTTGTGGCACCTCACTCTTGCATCCTCATCAAGAATTACTGTATTTTTCCCTGCCAATTTGCTACAAGTGCACACTCAATGTGAAGTTATTATATTAATGATAATAAAACATTCAAATTACATGGTTAAGCAGAGGTTGTATTTGAAAAAGTTCACAATGCACTTTCAAAAAAAAAAAAAAAAAAAAAAAAAAAAAAAAAAAAAAAGGAAAAAAAGGGACAATAAAGCCCCAAATGCCTTTTTGACCCTAAGCTTGAGTACTGGACACCTGGATTCTCTTGCAGGTAAAGGTGCACTTTCATAGGAGAGGAACATGAAGAGTTGGGAAAAAGTCCCCTGAAAGTTACGGTAAGAAATTCCAAGGTACAAGAACTCTGCCCAGCTTCTATATCATAGAAGGGCTTTTTAAAAAGGCAAAAAGACAAAAAACGCTGGAAACATCCTGCTGTGCGGCAGCCCCGTCCCTGTCTCTGCAGGCAGGGAGGAACAAGTTCTGCTTAGGAAGCRGTAAAGAGCCAAAATATCTGTTAAAAAACCTCCCGCGTCCCACTGCAGCACCTGCTCTTGGGGCAAAAGCATCTCCCAGGGTGCCAGCATCCCGCGGGAAAGCCACTGCACAGACAGGGAGCTGCTCCCAGGGCCGGGGGCTCTGCACCGCCTTTTCCATGTGCCGGGACCACACACGCATCCCTACAAAAGCCTTTCCCAAAGCCTGCTGAGCGCAGCTCCCTGTGCACGCACCGAGGGCAGACCCCGGCCCCACGCACAGCCCGAGCTCACAGCCAGAGCGGCTCCCGGGCGGGAGCAGCTCCCGGATCACTCTTGACACCTACAGCACATTCCAGTGTCCCCTYCCCACAGCTGATTCCTCCAGCTGAGCCAATACTCATTCCAAAATCTCCTATTTTTCTACTCACAGAGAGTTCCTATTTTTTTCCACTGTATGCCTAATTCCAGTATCAAGCTTTGGGAAGCAGGATATATTTGGGACTTTGGAAACCTCTTTCCATCTGAATTGCCCCAATGTTTCTGGAATTAGCAGTGAGGGAARCCTTGGAAAGGACAGGCTAAGTGACGCCCAGCAGCTTCCCCAGCCCTTGCTGTGGGGAGTTTAATCCCATTTATAGAGGCGCTCTAGTGTCCAGTCAAACCTGCCTCAAATTTTTGCTGGGAAAAGATAACCCAGATGGGTTTGTGTGCTCCAGTGTTTTCCCTGGCATCTTGTGTTCAGAATGAAACATGCAACCCATTTCCCAAGTTATCTTTTATCTCCAGTGTGGCTTGATGTGTTAAAACAATTAAGTCGTTTGTCTATATTGACTAATAATTATAATTCACTATTGATTATGGGAGCATAATCCTCCACTGGAGATATTTATGTTACCTATTAAACCTGTTTTGGTTTTGTATAGCTGAGTGCAGAAAGCAACAGGAGAAGCAAAAAGTGGAGAGCTCCAGGAACGGCTGGGGCAGCTCTGGATCCATACAGGTTTAGTATTTTCTGTAGAGAGGGACCTGTAAAGTGACACTGGCTTATACAGGTTCAGGGGTGAATTACATCTGAGGTGAGTGTGTTAATTAATGTTGCATTGGCTAGGTATTCCAGTCAGGATCTCATCTCCAGAGCAATCAGCAGAATTCTCTGGGGTTGCTCCGAAGAGACCTGAGTTAGAGCTCATGGGACAGCCTGTCCTTAAATCAGGGAAAGGTGCCCCATCAGTTCCGGAATGGCTGCAGCTCAATTCTTCAGCTACCTCGGCCTGTCCTCCGCCCCAACCTTCCCTGCAACACCGTAGTAAATATCGGTAAACCCGCTGGGATATCAGGCGGCACAGCAAACCCCGGCACAGCAGCCACACAGCTTCATTCGGGACTCTCCGCAGGTGGCAGCTCCCAGGCACGGCACACCGTCCTCGGGCTGCTGGGACAGGGCAGGGTCTMATCGGTGCTACTGAAACAAGCAGATTTCTCCCCACTTCCCAAAATCCAACCTCACATACTCATCCACAAGAAGAGAAGGGGACAGWGGAAGGACAGGTCAGTAGGTTGCTGAAAATACCACGTGGAGAGGCGAAAAAAAAAAAAACCCAAACAAGAGGAATCTATTTTGTTGTTAATAAAGAAGTGATTCCCCTCCAAGTGGCCCCTTTGCTCTCCCCCGATCCCTTTTTAAAGCACTGAAGCAATTTACTTTCCATTTTACTGTTTGGCTGTGCATTAGAAAAGAASAAATAAACAAAAAGCAGAGAAATGCCGATGAGATGCCTTGGTTTTCCCTTTTACCCCTCTTTCCTTCGGAGTTTTCTGTTTCTTTCCAGACTAAAAACACACGGCAGAACTCCTCAAACCTCCCCACGACCAGAGCGGTCCCTGAGCGACGCCGCTGCCCTTCACCAACCTCACGGTGCCTCGGGCCGGGTTTTTGTTAACACCCCGGGGATTTCCTCAGCGTTTTCCCAAGCGCGGGGTGGGAGCAGACCTCCCACGCTCCGGCCACCGCGGCTGCGGGGCTCCGGCCACGCGTGCTGTGCGGGTGGAGGGGGAGCACCCCGCTCCCCGCCCCGCGGGGTCGGTGCCCCCGGCTCGGCAGCCTCTCAGCGCTCCCGGAGCTTTCATTAACTGAAGATTGCGAATGGGTCGGCAGATCTATACACTTTTGTGTTCCTCGGCTCGCTTTATTTATTTCTTTCTTTTGCAGGATGCTGAATAACTAACCTTTCCTTCAATAGGCAGATTTAAAAAAAAAATAGGATCCATCACACAGCAGCAGGATAGCCTTGCTCTGTTTTGACCTTTCTGAAATTAATTTCCCAATCTTAGCTTTCAAAATCAGAGATTGAAAAGACCTATTAGATCAGCCAATCCATCTTATCACTAGTACGGCAGCAAGCAGAGACCCCAGCCAAGTGCTCCTCTACACAGGGAAAATATTCTGGAATAAGACAGGACATGAATTTAAAGTGAAATACCTGTTCCGGAAAATTCTGCACGTGGACACGTACTCTGGAATAACTGCAGCTGATCCTGAGTTTGCTCAGTTGACATCTGGAGCTGCTCACTGTAACAGAGGGAAGAACAACAAAATCCCATTTTAGGATAAGAGGTACCTTTTGTGAGGTAACTCTGGGGAATAATTTCCCCTGACCTTTTTTTTCCCAGGTAGGCTGGCACTCACAGGGCAAGACCACAGGGGAGGACAGGGATAGGTGCTCAGGAAAATTCCCCCCTGACCTGCGAGGATGTGGATGACAGAATTCTGGTCTGAAGCTACTCCAGSAGCCTGGAATGTTAAAACACACCTCTCCCATCCTGCAGTTTCGCACCCGTGCTGCAAGTACAGCTGCTTTTCCAGTCAGCAAATAACCTGGGGATAAAACCTCAAAGCTTGCCAGCCCATGGTGGGGGACCGCAGGAAGGCCCCTTGGAGCAGCAGGGTGCTCCTGCTGCCACACGTCCCTCTCCTCCTATTCCCCTTGTAATCCCTGGGGCTCTGAAGTCATGTTTTAATGCCAGCAATACTGATCTGAAGAGGACAGGTCATCCTCTGTAGAYCTTGGTGTCCACCTCCATCCTGCCYGTCKCTGCCAGGCTCAGACATTTCTGGTGTGGCATTCCCAGAGCTCCTGGGGATGTCTGTGGGGCTTTGGATGGGCAGGGCAGCACTGAGGGGCATCCTGCTTCTCCCAAAGAGTGAGGAAAAYAAGCCAGGCCTTGCAGCAAGTCAACTGCCCACTTTTGGCCATGTCACAAGCGCTGCTGAGCGAGAGAACCCAGCAGACCCTGAGGAAAGTGTGAGCAGGTCGGTGCTCTCTGGAGGGGCCTCAAGGGTCAGTACAAAGCCGACCTGAGCTGGAGGGAATCTCTTTGGCTCGGGGAGATGGCTCCAGCAGCACCACACAGAGTCCAGGTGTGGCCTGTCCCTGCCAGAGCGATGCCACAGTTACAGAGGGAGCAGGGAGCCACCAGCGATGCTGACRGATGCCGTGGCTGTCACGGATATCGCCATGCCAGGCTGTGAGCCGGGAGACAGGAGAATGCATTCCAAGTGTGTAAAAAGGAGTCTCTCCCTATGAAATGTGACGGGAAGGAGTCTCTGCCGACACCTGCAGCGAGTGTGTTCACTGAGGAACTGGGAATTACATGAACATGTACCTGTCAGTTTACAACCCTGCTAYATTTCCTATCAGCACCGTGGTTTGGTCAACAACTCCAAGTCTTTTCACACTGAAATCTCTCTGTTCTGCCTTGGCAGCTCCTGCCCTGCACACCCACCATGCCGGCAGCAAGAGCTGCCACCACCCCCTGCAACGGGGAGCAGAAAGAGCACACAGCAACRGGAGCTGCAAACTTTGGGCACTCAACAAGTCCTCTCTGCACACAATCAGGGCCAAAAGATCAATATTGACACTTTAGACCATTCTCCTCAATTTGTTTTTTTGTCGATTGTCGGGGCAAAATTCCACTTTTCCATATCTTGGATTCTTGGCTAATAGAAACAAATAAAGTGAAAGCTTCTGTCCACAATGGGAGAGGAGCATCCATTGTCGGCAGGCACTAATCGGATTAAATTGGCTCCTGGCTCTATTACTCGGGGATAACTCACTCCTAAATTTTCTCCCATCTCAAGGGGATGGGTCATTGTTGCTTTTTTYCCCCTTTTTTCCTATTTAAATCGGATGGATAGAATGAGGAATGGCTGGAGCTGACGGCGGTGCCTGCACCCTGTGAACAAAGAGCAGAGCCCAGCCCGGGGCCGTGGTTGGTGCTGGCTGTGGGGCCGCTCTGGCTGCCCAAGCCCCTTCTCCCGGCTGGAGCCACTCCGGCATCGCCGCYGCTCCCCTCTGCAAATTGCGTTTAAACCCTGAACGCAGCCAGGCAGGGAAAAACCTGCGGCTGTCCGTGCTCAGGTCGCTTCCCATTAGCATTTTAATCCGTACCCCTGGCATCAGCCCCTCGGAAGAAGCTGCAGCAGCCACGTTCCTGCGAGCAGCCCGAAGAGACGGCCTTAAATAATGCCGCCTTCGGAGGGAGGCCCCGCGCGCCGCCAGCTACATTTTGCCCAGAGTCTGATAATTTTCAAAGCTATTGGCAACCTGGGAATTTTCCTGCCTTATCACCAGGGCTCAGCTAACTTCACTAACACTAATCAGAGCTGGAATCATTCATTCAAGGATTGCATGATCATGTTTTTCTTTAGCAGTGACAGCTGCCTGAGCCGCATTAGCAATGCAGATGAGTCAGCCTAATAGGTTAATGCAGAACACGCGAAAATTAGGTTTAATCCCCAGTGAAATAATCTAACATTTTCACATTTCTTGATGTTGGGATAGAGACATTGGTGGTGACTCAATTAGGTGTAATGTAGATCAAAGCAAATTTACCTTCTGGCTGAACCTTCCCCATAGTTTAGATAGAAGAATATAAGGGGTTCTTTACTAATTGGCCAATGGCTGTGGGGAAAATTATATGGAAAGCGTGCATCGCGCAGGAATTGCGCTCCRGATTTGGATCTGGAGTGGGGTATGGCCGGGCTCTGCAAATACCGGGCACGGCGTTTTGTGCAGCCCTTTCTGACCCACAGCTCCTCTCCATGCAGTGCTCACAAATGAAGACATTTGAGGGCTTTCTGCAGTTTTATTCCCCCCCCCCCCCATTCATTTTTAATGTCCCATACTGCAATATCCCCAGTGAGGTTTGAAAGACCTTGTATGATAAAAGGAGCATAAAGGAGAGGAAAAACCCCACCCATCGGCGCGCGTCCTTCTAATGTTTTCATTCCCGGGGAATAACATATCAAACAGCAATCGCTTTCAGTCATAAAGGGAGGGGAACAAAAAATTACATGCCCTCAGTTGCCAAATTATTTTTTTGCCTTGACATCTTAATTCTTAATCCTTGTGTGTGGTCAAATCAGCCTACTATAGACAACCAATCAAGCAATTATTCCTAAATTATATTTGCCCAGCTCACATTGATTGGTTATTCTTTTCTTATTGGGTAAGCTCATTAATTCCGAGCAGCTTGCTTATTATGCTTTCCACATCATTTTCCTTCGGAGCCTATCTACTCACACCAGCCTGCTGATGTTTCAAGATGCCATGCAGAAAAAAAAAGGCCGAGTGATCTATTGCATTGTCTCTTCCAGCAATTACAATTCACATTGCTGATTAACTTTGATGTGAAAACTAATGAGATAAGGCAAGTTATCAAGGCGGACCTGATCGTCATCTCATTTATAGAGCATTTGCCATCAGTGAATGACAAAAACTAATGAAGATGTATCTGACAGCAGGCTGAGCCGCGGCCGAATTTTGTTTCTCATCAGCAAGTGCTCTGCTTCGAACTCATCAGTCTATCTGAAACATGTGGAAATTAGCTTAATAATGAAAACACTTCATCCAAATAGACAAATGTTTACATTAAAATAGCTACATGATAAATAGATGTTAAAGATTTTATGCCTTCTTGAGTCTAAACAATGGAGCACAAAATATGTTCTCATATTCACTAAATCATCCCCATAAAGCTCCCCACGTGCTGCTGTTACCTGTGGGCTCCCCTCTTTACGGCTCACGGAGATTTCTGGGCTGTGGCTCGGCCGTTTGGAGCCGGATGGGTCGGGCAGTAACTCATGGCTGCCTGTGCCATGAGAGGGGGACTGTCCCTGCCCCGACCTGGGGCACACAGCTGCCCAAAGCAGCTTTTTTAGCGGCGCCGTAAGAGGAGCATGGGGTGCTGCTGTACATCGACATTTACCTGATGTAGAAAAGGGATCCAGTTACCCCCAGACAAAATACAAAGTGCAGACATAATTCATGTAAATACAGCAACGTTTTCTTGGCTGAGCCATCATCAAAAAGCCTCCTGTAATATCAGTCTGGTTTAGAAATGTCGTGATAAAAGGGAGGCAGACAGAGCTGCTCCCATTTTTAATATTGTGGCTTTGGTATCTTTATTTATGAGAGACTATTTMATATTTGTTGGGCACTATTTCACATGCTTCTACTATGTCCAAACATATCCCMAAGATGTTTTTGTATCTAGAATAAAATATTCATCCATCACCTGGGATCAAAACAATACTATTTGTAATAAAAAAGACAGGCATCTGCAAGGCAGAAGGGTGAAACTCTCGCTTTAAAAATGRTTTTAAAAACTGTGAGACTTCAATTAAAATAAAGAATTGGCAAAAGATTATTTTCGTTCACCATGAGTTTTCCCCTCCCTGAAAAGGATGAAGTATATACAGACAGCCTATATAGCACTTCCTCCTCCAGGAAAAAAACAAACACAAACACGTTATCCCCAATGTAAGAGTAACTTTAAAATTGATTAAAAAAAATATTATCCACGTAAACTGGGAAAAAACAGATAGAGACTTTGCAGAAAAGGCACGGGGGCTCCTATAAATTCCATGCAGCAACGGCTCCGTGAACACACGGTGGAAAAAGCTCAGTTCCCGACCAGGTCGGGACAGGACCGCACCGGTGCCGGGGCTCCCCGTGCCGCCGGTGGGTGCAGCCCCCGGCCCCCCAGCCCCTTCCCACCGCAAGGCACTCACCAAGTCCCCTTGCTCAGCCCGRGAAGACATCTGAGGTGCAGCCCCGAGGTGCCCCGGCATTGTGCGGCGCAGATTAGCCTGCACAAAGGGCCCGCATCCCGGCAAAGTTAAAAGAAAAGCCTGGTAGGAAGCGCCGGCAACAAATTACTACTTCAGCGCTGGATTAAATGTAAAAGCCCTTCACAGAGCCGCAGATAAATCCTGTATGTTAGAAGGAACCATAAAAGTACTTGTTCAAGAGCTACAGGCACAAGTGGAAAATTGACCCCAAAGATTTTTTTTTTTAGTAGCCGAAGTTTATAAAATTTCTGCCGATGCAGGGAGAGGGTCATGGTAGCGCTGCCACACTCGGCAGCTCTCTGCTCCCGGCTGCTGCGGCCGGTGATGCAACTGGACACATCTGCGGCCACCGGTGTGAGCATTCCGGGAAATCCCAGCAAGGTTTGTTTGGTGGGTTGGAGGGGTTTTGTTTTGTGTGTTTCTTGTTTGTTTGTTTT